AGTAGCGGAACACTTTGAGGGCTTGCCAATAAGAAGCCGATTTCGTGCTGTCCTTAGTATTCAGAAGAATGGATTCTGTAAAATCCATGCGTTTAACCTCTTCATCTTCCTCCTCTGAGGATTCCTCCTCAGCGACCTGGCTTTTGGCCTGGCTATCGTCTTCCTGACTATCCGCTCCCTGTACGTGTTTTCGTGACACTGTGACGGCGTCAGAGAGGTCATGAGTCTGAATGCGCTTCTCAATGGCCTCATATATCTCTTCATATGTACGCAGCGGACGGGATCTGTCCTTCTCTACTTTATGCTCGTTTATGAGTTGATTTATGAGTACGATAGTAGGATGTGGCCTCCGTCGGGGTTTTGCTCTCTTGCGTATTCTATCTTTCAAGGAGTATCCAACGTTTGACGCATTTGTTTGTTCCGCGGATTGAACTGCTGACGCCATTGCCATACCGTGCCCGAATTGCTGACTCGCAAAAAAATCGATCGGATGCGCTTCAAAGGAAACTGGCGAATGAGAGCATTTATCGGATAACGGCGAACCAATAAAAGTTGAGGAAGTGTAGTATAGCGCCGGCTTCTTTGTGTGCTTGCGGCCGCTATTATTTGCCTTAACTATGGGAATTTTGAAACGCGGAGTCTTTAGTAAATCTATTCCGATAGCAGATAGTCCAGTTAGTTGCAAAAGTAAAAACCTAGATACGTTAAAATCTCCTTAATCGGTGTAGGAGTCACTGCAGGTCAAGTTTACTCTAAAATCAAGCGAAAAAGAAGCTGCTGCAACTTTGAAAATATTGTTTACAGACGAACGCTGTTAGAGGAGCAAAAATTTTACGTAAAGTTCAAATGTTGAACGCGTCTACATAGTATGCACAGCGAAACAAGGAGCAGGGTTTAATGATACGGAAGATCTACGCCGAAGTTGAGGATCCCTTTTGTTGAAAATATTCCCAAACACCTGAAGACGAACTGCAGCAGCACTTATCAGCTGGTCTGTTAAATACACTGTAGAATGGGGAATGAGTTCTAATCAAAAGAATTTCGTAGTCCCGACTGATCGCACTTTTCAGAAAAATGTTTTCTTTTGCGTACCTAAGCCATTTTATGAAGTGAAAATACTATTTTATTAGAGCGGAAGCTGGTGACATTGTTTGCTGTTTTCAAATAAATGTTCATAATTGCGGAAAGGGAATCGTTAAGAGGTGAAAACTAAATGATTTCACAAGCTAGCAATTTTGAAGGAACCATTGCGTACCTTCGAATAAACTAAATACGATGGTGATAGAATACGTCTGAAAACAGTTTGTTTCTACAACCTTGCTTGATGGTCACATATAGTATAATTTCTTAGGGAACTCCCACCCGGTCGAACACTGTTAAATTAAACCAACTAGATCAAAACCAAGATGCTCGATCTAGCGAATAGGTTAGAAATGGATTTTAACGCTAAGCACAGAGCTTTGCTGGGGTTTCGACTATTCTATGACCACGATTTTTCTAAATTATCTCATTTTTATTTCCTCCAAAAATAACGTGCGAACTTGGAGTAAATCTTTCAAAACAGAGTAGTTTAGGCTCCTTCCGAAAGGCGATATAAATATTTGATCTGAAAGCCATAAGCTACAGCGAAATAACTACGTAATATACACAAGTTGCCAATAGTCAGCCAGTCAGTGGTATACAAATATCGACTGCTTTAACATACTGACAGCCCAGGTACTAGCTAAAAGCCCAGGCATATGTGTTTCGCCGATCTTGTGGCGCTCCTCAAGGAGTCCCCCGGCGTTCCCCTGTCACAGGAGGTTAGGCACGCTTAAACCTAGCAACTGCGATCTTCAGGCCCGGTTCCTTAGGAGAGGCCAGTATGGTTGGAAGAGTTTATTCTGTACAGAAAGAATGGTTGAGTAGGCAGTAGGAAATTGACTAGCATACGACCACACAATCGCAGGCCGGCGGACGGCGTTTGAAGTGAAGTCTGCTCGGCAGTCGTCACAAGAAATCCTCCGCGAGTCGGACTGTGATTGATTGTTCTAGAGGCCGGAAGCAGCAAGCGTTTTAAAGTGCAGTTCGACTAGAGCTAGTCACTACAAGTGATCGCAAGTACACTTCGTATGGAGCTAGTTATTACACCCCGTGTACTTGCTAAATTGTGAACTGCAGCTTCGGTGTTGCCCTGTATTATGAAAAAGGAAGTTGAGTTTTCCACAAACTCAGCTTGAAAGAAGGCCTTAGTAGATTGTTCTGAATAGGACCACTGAAAATCACTCCATAATGCTGAGTGGACTCCTCAATCGAAGATAATTAGCTAATACAAGCTAGGGCTGGAGTATCGTGCAGGGCTACCTTCAAGCAAAAGTTCGCTTGGTTCCCTTCGATAGGAAAAAAGTAATCGTAGCCCTAGGGGCTGGGAATTTTAGAACCTGTCGTATCTATCGTAAGTGTCTTGTCTCGTTTACACTCATGGAGTTGTTTATTCGAATCTGATATTGTCATCGGGTCTGTTTCGCGGAGGTTTTACAAGGAGTGGGGAATGTGTCATATCTGAGATGTCAGCCGGTCAGACAGCGAGAAAATCTGAATCAACGTTTCACCGCAAAAAACTTGACTGCGCCCCTTCGGTAGCCTACCAAGGGGGTTAGGACAACGTGGCAGTGTGTGGGCGGAGTTTGTTTGACAGTCTGAGACAGGGTTGCATTGACACAGTGACTAGTAAACACGACAGTTCACTACTGCACATCCGGTGGCCTGTCTCTGTTAGGTGGACCGGGTTGTTTGGTGACCATGGCAGCATTTAATAGCGTAGGAAATTCCTCGGATATCAACAAACGCTGGATTTTGTCCATTCCCGTCTCTATTTTCTCCCAGTATATTGATCTGAAGGGAATTCGATCCTAATAAACAGCATTTTGCGGCTCAAGTCAACCAAATGAACTAAATAAGCAACCTCAAATGTGTGTTACATCCCCCCAATCCCCACCCTTTCATCAGATATGTAATCTACTGTATATCAACGCCATAAAGATGATATAGAGTCGAAGATTGTGTCCAGTTAGACCTTATTGGGCCATTTTAATGATCGCGCGTGAACATTCGGTTTTCGGTCATTTAAATAATTACTCCTATTATTTTATACTCTTATGTGCGTTACTTATTATATTGTTTTTTCTTTCTCCTGATATGCCCAACCCATTTAGCTTTTATTTTCATCTGTCCCGTAATACAGAAAGATGGGGTTTTGCGTTCTTTTTAGGCGCGTAAATTGAACTTTTACCCACGACTGGATCACTGTGTGGTAATATGGAGGTCCATTCAGTCAGAGGTGTCCGCAGTGTGAAGTTCCCCTGTTCCTTCCAAGCAGTTCAAACCCTCGAAACAGTTTAAAATGACGAAAAACGAAAGCTGCAGCATTTTTGTTTCAGACATTGGCCAGCGGGAACAGACGTGTCAAAATAATCGTAAAATAGGTGCTCTCAAGATAACATGATAACATAGTTGTGCGAAATGAGCAAGCAACAGTTAGAACGAAGATCAGAACAACGAAGACAGGTCACAAGTGGTTCAGGAAGGCCGGGGAAGGAAATAGGCACACGCAAGCGCTCGCATGCACACATAGTAACATGCTCAAGAGCATAGCAGATTGGAGGAAACAATGGTCACATCACTAGCGGTTGGTTCTTCGGCACATGGCTCCACCTGCGATTCATCCGGCTTGGGTCTGCCGTCCTGCACCAAGGCAACAACTGAAAACAAGAAAAAATGTTTAGGTATGCAAAAAAGTTGCGATTATTAGGGTATTGATAGAGAGGTTTGAAGATAATCAAGTTGAACAAAAACGCCGTACGTGGGTAAATATTATTAGGAATTCATTGCTTCGCTTAAAAAGAACAGGATACATGTCTGTAGTGACATTAACATACACTGGTTGCGTGTTAGAAATGTTCACCGATTTGGCAGGATCGCAAGGTACAATATGAACGACTTCAATTTTAAGGTTGCGAAAATTTTCATCAGAGAATACGGAAGAACGGCTGGCAAGCGGTTGGCTCCACCAAACCCTCTCCGTCGCATAAATAAAGTTGTTCTTATCGGCCCTTCTCCCCTATTCCCTCGACTCGCTTGTACTTTAAGACGAACATTATTG